ATAATCGTGATTATCATTTTTTGCCATAATCGAGCAGCCCTACCACTGGCTACACTCAAGAAACTGTTCTGAAAAAAGCTGTTTGGACAGAGGAGACTAAAATTAACTTGTACCGGAGTGAGGAGGATAATCTGAGGCCGATCACAGTTTTATGGCATGGGCATGTGGTGCGAGTGGAACTAGTGCTAGTGGGATAAATGATGACCCAGAGTGTACTTATCCTTATATTAATGATAGTATAGATTATGTCAACTTGCCTAATTACTATTGAATCTCTGAAAATTGGGAACCATGTATAAAAAAAGGCTATGCCGTATTTTTCGGACCGTAAGGCGCAAAACAGTCAGATAAGTCAAACTTTACTCAACTCGTTCTTCTTGCTTCTTCCACTTCCGTACCATTTATTCATTAATGTTGAATTCTCTCGCAGCTGCTCTACTCCCATGTTGTTGCAGTATATTAATGACTAACCTCGTATTGTGGATGGATTATCTCAGTTGTTCTCCTGTTAGCGTTAGCATTCATCCTGCAGCTTTACTGTTTATGTTATGCTAACATAGCTGTGTCGCTAGCGATCACGTAGCACATCATTATATACCAGCTAGTCCAACTTCAGTAATCCTACAAAAGCACTGCTGTTTAGTTTTCTGTCTTCATTTATGTTGGAAGTGAAAGCAGAGCTGAACGTTTTATTTTTTTCAGAAGTCTCTCAGTCAGAACATGCTATATCATGTTTAGGTAGCTAGCGAAACTGGCTAGCTAACTTTCTGCTAACTTCTAACTCTGTTAAGTGTAATAAATTCTGTTTTCATGGATGCCTGGATGTTAAACTTAATTTTTACTCCTGGTAAAGCAGCAACGCTGATCATTTTATTAAGGATGAAAGAATTTAGACTGTTTTTAACTCTCAGTGATGCTGTAGTGTTCGTTTGACTTTGGGACATGAATATGACGAAATTTGGGACCCTGATTACTCGGTGAGGCTCCTGACTACGGCAGCCCTAATCCTCCGACAATCCATCAGGCAGTGCGGCTTCGTAGTTTGCCTTATAGTGCAGAAAATACGGTAATTAATAAACAGTTAATGAGGTACTTTTGTAAAAACCCTTGAATGACAGGCCGAAAGTCTTTACTTCAATCACATTTCGATCATTTGACTTAAAATCCATCGCGGTGAAGTCCGGATACCTGTGCTACTAACTGTACTTTCCCACCACATCCTCCTCCCCCGTCTCCGAGCATAAATGCTGTAACATATAAGAAAAGGGCTTTTCTCTTTCCACGAGGTGTACCCTTCACACGCATACATGCACATAGAAAAGGGAGAATAGATTTTTTTATCAGATTTCCATTTGCCCACCAGCATAACTTCTCCTACCAGAATTTCATTTGTAAGCCTCAATGCTAACACTTCCATAACATCCAGGAACAGGATTAAACCTTAATAGGAGCTGACACTGGGTTACAAAGGATACCGCTTCAGCTCCTTATGCACCAGGAACTGTGTTACAAAGAAGGTGGTTAGCCTCTGTTTCTCTTGGTATCTCCGGGCATGTTTTGCCACTTTCTCTCCTTCTCACCCCCCTCCTCTTCTTCTGCCTTCCTCTTTGATTGTTAGTGTCTGACGAGACATGCTTGGCCTACGCTCTGGCCCTCTGAATTATTTATCAGCCTCTTGTCCAGTTAAATGGGTACAGCAGATCCGGCCAACTGCCTCGTGCACCTCCAGCATGCACTGCCCTTGGAGGCTATCTGCGTCTCTGCTGTTCAGCCAACAGAATATTTTGCACATTTGAATAGCTCCAAACGCTGGGTGGGAGTTAGTGTTGAGTAGAGGGGAGCAGCGAGATTATTTTTTTACAAGGGTCAGCAGCTGATGTAAAGAAAATAAGGCCACGTGCAATATTTGTAAGTAAATATTTCATCAGAAGGACTTTTTTAAGTCCAGGTGTTTAAATGAGTAAAAATTATTAAAGATAAATGCTTGAGAAGTCATGTTTGTAGTTGTGTTAAGAAAAACCGAGGCACGGCAGGACGCATTGATTTGGTTTCTTTATTTTTGGGCCAGAAAGTACAGCAGCACACGTAAAGAAAAGCACACGAGGAACAGACTGCAGATGAGCTTCACAGTTGGTGTCTGGAAAGTGCCACAGTTGGTGGAGGCTATTAATAAGCAGAGATATAAATACAGCGTGTTTTCCTACCTGAAAATCGCTGCGGAGTCCACTCAGTCGGGTTGTGTGACTGACACTTTGGCTAGCAAACCAAGAGTCTCTGGTCTCATTATTTTCCATTACACTAAGTGGGTTTTATTAATTCCAAGTGTTTTGTTTCCACACTAAGATCACAATACCCTGACAAATGGACCTCTCGTGAATTTGGAAAAACAGAACGCCACCTGCTTTCCTCTCTTTGCATTGATTAGAAATGACTGAATTAAATTGCCTGTTTTAATTCAAATGAAATCAAATGACACGCCGCAGTTAGGGAGACGCCGGACCGTAATGAAAATGGAACCTGCTAGCGCGGAACCCAGCTGTGGAACCACTCAAGCGTCCGCCGCCATTTTCTGGGTTCCAGCGCAGACCTGGAAAGGCTGGATATCTCGGGAAAATTAATTAGTCGGTCTTGAAGAGTTTTGAAAATGCAGGATGAGGCAGCGTGAAATGGCATTCAACTTTTTGGACAGACCAGGGCTGTCAAACTCTCTTTAGTTCATGGGCCAAGAACAGCCCAATTTGATCTCAAGTCTTATATAACAAGCTAAAAAGAAATCCACTACTTTAGTCTGAAAAAGTACATCCAGGAAATGTCACATTTATCAAATCCTTCATTTACAAAATAATGGATGAACTTCCTGAGATATTTTATGGGGGGGAAAAAAGGCAATTCAGTCAGCCTGCTGTCATCAGTCAAAGAAATGTGTTGGCACAGCTCCTTCACTTAACCGCTTCACTTCGGGGTGGTGTGTCAAGCCATGCATATTTCTTTGTCAGTAACAAATATGCAAAACTCGTGATGATTCAGACGTTTGGCTCAGAAAAGAATCGGCAAGAAAGAAAAGGGAGAAAATCCGAAAACGTGACATTTAAAGGGGATTAGACGTACCAGACTATACCAGTTTGGCCAGTTGAAAATATAGGTTGTTGTATTTTGTCATTATGTCGTCGTTTATTCCGCTTTTCCTCACCAAACCTTCTTTCTAATGTTAGACCTAATGAAATAACTGACAAACACTAGCCACTACAAGCTGTAAATATCATGTTATTTGCCAGCAGGCAGTTATTTCTGTGTCCACCCTTATATGTGCCGATTCTCGTCCATGTTCATGAAATGAAAATTTTCCACTTTGAGACAGGAAGGGTCGATGGTGGAGTCGTTTCACTGCTCACACCAGTTTGAGTCATACGCAGATTTTCACACATCATTTGTATCGTTTTTAAATATTCATTCAACATATGGCGCTCGGTTGAGCTCGGGCATTAACAATGACTTGGTGAGGTTTAGGCTTTAGAAACCTCTGAGTTAGGTTCAGGAAAAGATCACAGTTTAGTCTTTTAAAGCTTTTTCTTTTCTTTATTGTTATAAATAAAAGAAATAAAAAATAATTCCTACCTAAGCATATCACAAATATTACAAACTTGTGCTTTTGCTGACACAGAAAAAATTGGCAATTGGTGTTAGTGGGGAAAAAAATAGATTGCTCTTTTTATTTCACATTTTGTTATGAGACTGGACTGAATAATAGAGCCAGCGAACACCCGTACTTGGCCCATGTAACAGTGAATCCTTAAAAGACACCACGTTAACACGGTTTTCTGGTATTTTTAGCAACTCGCAACTCAAGAGTCCAAAACGATGCCCAGTTTTCACATTTGCAAAGCCGTCTTTGGTGGGCTGCTTTTGGCATGTAGATTGTATGTTTGTCATCCTTATTTTGGACAGTCATTGGCTTATTTTTCTTCATCGCAGATTCTCGTGTCTGTTGGGCTGAGCAATAACTTTTATTCGATTATACTTGGTCATATTTTTCGGATGAGAAATTCTGATTTGAAAAATCATAAAAAGGCTAACTTGAACTATTTTGTGTTTGATTTCTCTTTCCACAGTGTTCACCTGTACTACCTTTTCCCCAGTTTAGAGGAGGGTGGCCTGGCCACCTACAGAACGGCCATCGTACAGAACCAGCATTTGGCCATGCTAGCCAAGGTAAACCTCCCCCACCTCCTCCTACTCATTACCTTCCTCTGCAGGTCAAAGTGGTGTAAGGTGTCAGATCTGGCAGGAGAACATGTTGGAGACAGTCTTATTGTTTTCTGTCTTGCTGTTATGACTTTGCTCCTTTCTAAGCAGGCACTGGGGAAAAGAGTAATTTTGTCTCGATGCCATTACTACCCCATTTTTGCCCCCTCAGGTTTGTAATTGGAGTTAAAAGGTTGTTGTTTTGGAGGACTAGACGAGTGCGGCTGGGGTCCCTATGGGCCCCTAGAAGTCTCCCTGAAACACTCTCCAGTTCCTGTTATCGCTAGGCCCCCTTGCTTCCCTCCTTCTCTCTCTTGCTGGCAGCGTCGTAGAGCCAAGCTGTACTCACTGGCACGTTTGTAAAGAACACAACAATAATCGTCCCGTGATGTGGAGAAAGCAATTAAAAACTTCAATCTTTCATGTTGCTCCCTGCTGAATACAAAGATGCAGCCGCCCGAATCTGCATTAGTGCTGTGTAGCAGTTTGGCTTGTTTCAATTTGCCGCTCGCGGTAAAGTGAGTGTGATACAGTGTTCAACGTTGCCAAGTTGTTTACCAGGCTCCTCTAAAGCCGTCTGCTCAAGAACACTCGCAATTATCTTTCAAAAAATATCTTGAGCGAGCAACGCACAATCCGCCACTTCACTTGGAAGGCTTAAAAGTCAGAGCGGGTTCCCTCTGAGTTGGAGTATTTATGAATTGTGATTTAATTTGTGTGTGCAATCACCGGGGGTGGGATACCACCAACAGTTATCAGCCGTAATTAAATAGCACCCTGACTGTTTTTTGTTGTCTGTAGTGCGCTGCCAGAAGAGTCAAGTTGGGCTACTTTCGACTTGGTTCATAGAAATAGTTTGCAGAAAGTTTGCCTGACCCACAGTCGCACACATCACAGCACTGAATTGCAACCTATGCAGATTATTATCTGCGATGGGCTTTGTTGTTAGAGCGAAAAACTCTGTTTGATGTTTATTAGTACACATTTGAAATTGTACAACTTTACGGGCCTGCATCAGTGATGTAAGCATGGATCGCTTTAATCAACCAAACCCTTAACTGCGATTTTAACAGTAACTGCATTTAGTTAGAAATTACTGCATGCAGTCACCCGTTAGTGAAGTTCTGAGTTTTTGCTTTTAGCATATTTTTTACTACCAACCAAAAGAAAACAGATGTGAACATTTAGCCCTCGGGGCTCTATCCTGGCCATTTGTGGCCACTTCATTTTTGTTCTGTTAATGCAAATGGAATGAAACTTTCCAAAGATGTGTATTTTTTTCAGATTTTTTAATTTTCAACATCAGCTCCTTAATAATGTCAATAATATTCACTACACACCAAATTGTTCCTCTTGACTCTATCGTGGCCATTTTTGGCCAATTGAAACCCATTATAACCACCTTTTTTGATTCCTTGTTATTGACAGTAATATATCATGCGATTTAGGTAAAATTGCTTTCATTCTAAACTCAACACATGAAAATTGTAGTTTTTAATGTTTTTTACCAAATTACATAATTTACCCATTTTTGGGCAAGCAAGCGATTTCATGTAATATTCCTCGTTTCTAGTAGCGGCCTTTGATGGCTCACCACACTCCAATGGACCAAAAGAATGAAACAATTTTGACATAGGTTTGATCTTAAGGATCTAATACTATGTGTTTGTGCATGACATTGCAGCACAAACATGTATTTGCAAGATAGACTGGAATAAATAATGACGCATCAAACATTACATAGGCTGCAGTGAATTTCTGTGGATGCAGGCTATTGAGCTTTGAGGTTCCCAGTCAAACTTAGCTTTGAAGCACATGTTAAAAGCACTTTTACTCTTGTATTTTTCATAAAAAGATACCATACCCGAAATATTAACTCCAGAAACAAAAACAAAAAAACCCAATCACAAGACATTTTGCAGAGTTCAAACCTGCAGCTGCAGCGCAAACAACAACAAACACTGTTTGTAAACGTGTCCTGGAGTTTATGCAGGTGCAGACAGTGCTACTGCTGTAAATAAGCCTAACAGCTTCCAGATCATTTATTCTGGCTATAGGGCAAGAAGGTCATCACTGCTTCAAGCACTGCCTGTATGATCTGGTCAGAGAGCAAGGACAGCAGCAGTCCTCTGCCCTTGAAGAAAAGACATCTGCCCAAGATGAAGAAACTTCCTCTCCAGAAGATGAGGGGACAATCTCCAAAGAGGCTGACTGTATCACCTCTGATGATGAGTAATAGCCAGTGCCTGAATCCTCTTCTTTGGGGGAGGATGGGGGTTGGGGGGCATGGAGGTGGAGGCCGAGCAGCTGATGGAAAAGAACATAGGAGCATTTTCTGAGACCGAGGAGCCGGTGACTGAGTGGATCCCTCATGAAAGGAAAACCATGTGGGTCCCACTACTGAAGAGAGACTGCTCTACAATCCAGTACCCACTGGTATCAAACCAGAGGTCACCCTGTATGCAGTTTCCTGCATTAGCAGCCTGAGATCTACTTTTGACTTTTTTATAACAAAGAGATCTTTTAGCTGCTGTGCACCCTTACAAACCTGCACGGGAGGCAAAGGTGTGAGGATTGGAGGTGGAGTGGAGATGTGAGCCTAAACCAGAATAAAGCAATACATAGCATGTTGGATGACAACACTGGAAGTTCTCAGGAAGTAAAAAAAAGGCATGGGGTTCAGACTCCAACTAACGGAGGAGCTCCGAGGACAACGTCTTTCCTTCGGGCACCTTGGCAGAGGAACCCCTCAGATGAAAACTGGCACAGGGGAAACCACCCAGAGCTTCCTCCCCAGCTCCTCCAGTTGCAACAGAGGAAGATTTTGTTGTCTGTCTTTGGCTTCACCAAAACTACCACGGCGACATCACACATGCCAAAGCAACGGGGGAATGTGCTTCTTTTGACAGCAACACACAAGGAACCAGCAGTCAGTGATGGGAATAAAGGATGCATGAAAGCAAGAAGCAATCCTGGACTACAATAGGCACAAATATTGCTTGGATAACTTAGAGAGGATGTTGGCACCTCGAGTTGTAGAAGGAAAACTAACTGATGGCTCTTTTCTCCAATCTCCTGGATGTCTTGGGATACGATGCCTTTGTCCCGCCGGAAACAACTTCACTGAAGTGGGGGAGTCCTCTACAACCTACAAATGAAGAGTGATCCTGGGAGAGCGGGCACACATGCTGGTGACCTCAACAACTGCAAGACACCCTTCTCTTTAATTCTCAGCCACTTCTGCCATTGATCTCAAGATACAGTTGTCTGAACCAGAGTGTGACCCACACCCCACCAACGAAGTGAGAAGAAGGTGCAAAAGGCACACCTCCAGGATTGGAACAGCAGCCTCTTGCACCAGGTGTAGAAAGTGTGCCTACAAAACCCACTCTACTGTGGTCAGTACATCCTGCTGCTAATGAGGATGCACACAGAAGCACACACTGGAATATAAATTTTGATCATTTTATTGGTCATTTCAGTGGTTATTTGGTCATTAAATTTCTGGCTACTAACACACCATTTGTGATTTTCTTTGTGGCCATTCATTCACCCCCCCCACCCCCCCACCCCTAAAAAAAGTAAAAATAAATCATTGTTACTGTTACTGTTACTGACCTGCAATGATGATAAAAAGAAATATTATGTTTCATCATTCATATGCTAAAAAATGTGAACTTTATCACTATTTTCCCCCAAAAGCGTAGTAATAATACATAATCTGACTGGTATCCAAAGGGTATAATATCTGAATTTGAATTATATTTTGGTTTTCATGACTAGGACTGGTGCTAATTTAAAAAATCAAGTCAAAGGAAGTAGAAAAATGTTTTAATATATATGAATTTTATAGCATTTTGTAAACGTAAACAGGGGGTGGCCATTTTTGGCCACGAACAAGCTGAGAAGGAGTTTTTTTGTTTTTCTGTCACTGCACAAAAGAACAAAGATGCATACAAATTATTGATACTGTTAATTATTGCTATACATCTAACCTTCACCATGGTTAGAAAATAAATCAGATGGCATGTTTTATTTCGAAAAAAAATCTGGGTTTTATGATTTTTTTCTATTTATGAGTTCCTAGGATTATGTGATCTAACTGGTATTTAAAGGGTTAAAATTCTGAATTTGAATGAAATTTTGATTTTCATGAATAGCACTGATGCTAATCTAAAAAATCAAGTCAAAAAAGTGGAAATTTTTCTTAATATATATGAATTTTATAGCATTTTGTAAATGTAAACAAGGGGTGGCCATTTTTGGCCACGAACAACCTGAGAGGGAGTTTTTATGTTTTTGCTCTCCCTGCACAAAAATAACACTGCATTATAATCAATGTTGATGTGAATCAATTACATGCCCCAGACTCTACTATTAATAATACAAGAAATTTCAGTAGCAATGCAATTATATAAAATTGCGAGATTTGAGGTTGTCTTCCAGCTGGTGCAGTGGACAAACAAACTGGTCTTTAAAGGATTAGAAATTTAAAAAGCAATAACTATTTTATATTTATGAAAAGAACTGAAGTTAGTTAAAAGCTTTATGCAGAAAAAATGGCAAAAAAACATAAAAATAATAAAAAATTACAGACCTAATCTGTTGGTGGACACTTTTGGCCACAAACAAGCTGAAAGGGCAGTGATTTTGAACAAACCCAGAGGGTTACGAAAACACAACAGAGTGCGGATATCATCAGGTCAATGCTAGCAAACTTGGTTATCAAGCTGCAAACAGACTGTCCCGGGTTTGTCACATACACGGAGATATCTGCTAATTAGTACCAGGAGAAATACCGATAAATCGCCAACTAAAATTGGAGCACAGAATTCCTGGAAGATAATTAACAGCACTTCAACCATCGCTCTCTGTTTGATAACCGCTTTAAAGGCCATTAACACCAAACAGTGATCCAGTGGCTCAGACCAGTGACTTAAATTAACTAAGGTTAAGCCTTAGCTGTGGTAGCATCTGCATTTCAAGGAAAGTGACCACCGCTGTAATTTTAAACTTTTATAACTCATCCAAATGGATGAGTTATAAAAGAAAATTCATCCTGCATGCACTTGTTTAAAAAAGCCATTTGAGACCAAAACTACCAGGTACACTAGAATGTAAGCATGCTTTGTAATGCTATAAAGTTAGACCTTTTAACATGGTGTCTATGGGGATTGATCGCTTTTGAAGCCTCAAGAGGACATTAGAGGAACTGTATTGTTTTGCACTTCCACATTTGATGAAAATATACATTTTTAAATTGCTTTGATTATTTGGTAATTATACAACACTAAAAAACTTGACTTTTTACTGATACTTCTTGGTTATTGTGGGTAAAAACTGGACATTAATTGGCTTGAGAAGCTCATATCTTGAACATGTTGGGGGTCTGTGGAGTTTGTGGAGCCGCAAATGGCTCCAAAGTAAGGTTTTTGGCAGTTCCACATTGGCTTAAGTGTAGCCATGCTCATGTCTTTTGATAATTGTAGCTTTAAGATGATCTTGATGGTCTAAGATGATTAAGCCAAAGAACCATTTATGCCAGTGTGAGGCCTCAGTCTGTCCATCCATGACTCCCAGGAAACGCTACTCTGATAGCTGAAGTTTGGTAGTAAAAACTCAATTCACACTGTAACCGTCCAGCAGACTCGGTACATGCTAGTACATTTTCATTAGTTTAAGCAGTACAGCCAACCAGAGACCAGAAAACATATCACTTTGTTTTTGCACTTTATACATTGAGCTTATTTAGACTTCTGCAGTGAATCTACGCCCTGACTCAGAAACGCCTCTTAACATTACCCCTCACCCTTCCACGCCATTCAAATTGTTGCGGGGTACATTACCTCAACGTGTATTTACATTTCTCGGGAGCTGCACGTCAGGTTACACCGTAGTGTTTGGTTACACCGTACAACATCGATGGCTCACTGAAGCATAATTCAGGCATTACAGTGACCTGTGAAGTGGATGGATCAGGAGCCAGTTGAGCAACTATTTAATTTATGTTCTGTTATCTTTAATTAATTTATTTTTTAACTGCTCTTATAAATGCAAAGTGTGGTCTCATAACTAAGAAATCTGACCTCAAACTTGAAACTACTTGTTGCTGTTTTCTTGTTGCTTATTGGGGTAAAAAGCACAACTTCAGCTCACTTTTGGAGCCTCTAAAGGCCGTTGGAGGAACTGCAGCTTTTGGCTTTTCCTCATTAGCGACTTGACTGTATTTACCTTGCGTGCACTAATATCCTATTAAAAATTAGGACATGGACATATGTTTTAGGGAGAGTTTTATAAATCCCAGTGACATGTTTAAAGTCAGTACGATGATTCTGAGCATCGATTCTTTATATGAATGGAAGCTGCTGCTCAAAGGCCATTTCTCTGCGGTACAATTTTGCTGTACTGATGTATGCTTTTGTAAAGAAAGTAGCGCCTAGTAAAAGAACTACTTTCCAGAGTGAATGAAGGTCACAACAGTGCGATTTCACGTTTTATCTTGGGATTATCTAGCGTGCGCGTGAGCGTGCGTGTGAGCGTGCGTCTGCCTGTATGCACACGTGTGAACATTCTCCTCCTGTGCCGGCTTAGTGCTTCATGCCACAGCTGGACAGCACATGAGCACATCTGTCAGTGCCATGAAGTAGAACCTTTTCCAGCAAGGGCATGCAATCTTTTTCATTTCCCCTGAGTTTTTGGACTCTTACATAAAAGCCTGTGAAAGTGCAGAATGCAAAAAAAAAAAAAGAAACAAAGAAATGAAACAGGTCATCATTTTTTAGGTGGTTATAAGTGAGGTGCTGTTGACAGCGTGCTAACGTGAATGCATTTGTTCATTTGCAGAAACTGGAGCTGGATCGCTTCATGCTCTACGCTCACGGACCGGATCTGTGCCGGGAGTCGGACTTGCGGCACGCCATGGCCAACTGCTTTGAGGCTCTGATGGGTGAGATTCCCCTGAGATCAAGAGAGAAGCGGGGATGATGGTCGGGCAGGAGAACAAAACGGAGGAATGCATTTCGAGTCGACTAAATATGCAAATCTATTCCTAAAAGGGTAGATTTCCATATACTGAAAACAAATACTTTCTCTCCGCTTGTGTAAACACAACACACGCATTAGTAGGGGGATTTAATAGTCGAGTTTTAGTGGACTTTGCATCAGCGCATACTGAAAACGCTTTAATGCATAAATGTGTTTAATTCAAATGCTTTGAGTGAAACTGAACCTTTTCATAACAATGTATTTCCTTTTTTGTTTTTTGTGCGTGTTAAACGGTATAAATAGCTGCAGTGGATCTCCCATTAGGCTCTGGAAACATTACGCAGCTTTTATTGATCTCTGGAGATGCGGTTTGACCTCTGGCTGGACATGCTATCCCCAGAGAGCTGCTCTCCTTCGCCCGCACCAAACACATACACAAGCTCGCTATTCGTCTCTCCAGCTGCTCCGTTTATAGGGTTTGTGCAGTGATTAGGACCCTGTGCTGGAAACCACACACGTATAATAAAAAATCTCTTGGTGGGGACCCGTCTCCCTCTCTCTCTTCATCCTACCCCATGGGCAGCGCTAAGCTAAGCCTCACTCCTGGAGAGCTGCAGAGTCGGCAGCTTTCCCCATCTTATCACCATCTTGATTGAACCAGTTCAGCCATCTCTGCGCTCCCCTGATGATAGATACAGAAAGTGGGTGACTTTAAAGAGATCTTCGCTTCCCTCCCTCTCACGGAAAACAGGAGAGCGACAGGGGGAAAGTGCTGACTAGCGCCGCGGCCTCTCGCTGGCCCCGCGGCCCCCGTGCTTGTAACGGCTTCATTATCGGCAGAGACAAAGTCATAATCTATTCTGTCCCGTGGCTGTCGCCGCCTCATCGCCGCGCACATCCGAGCAAGGCAGCAGGGCCGCGACACCGGATGCCTCTCGTCTCTCTCAGCCTCTCCCCCCCCACCTTCTGTCCTCCAGTTTCATCTTTAGAAAAGTGATGAATAAACAGGGTTCGTGCTGTAAAGGAACCGGTGAGAAAACTTGCTGTCAGAGAGCACCCTGTGGTGATGGGTTTTTGGGTTGCTAACTCAAAAATATCGCCCACCCCTCTCTCGTCTTCCCGCTCACCGCAGACACACTCGCTGAGGGGCGCAACATGCACACGTACGCAAAAAAACCACAAAAAACGAGGCTTTCAAAGTCGCTTGCATCGAGAATGCCGTCTGATGTTGCTCCTCTTCTTTCACCGAGGCTCAGGTTTTTTTTTTTTTGGTTTTTTTTTACTCAAACGCCTCCTTCAAGACCTTGTTGTCGAGCCGTCGATCTGTCTCCACCCTCCCCCGTCTCTGACTTAGTCTTTATATCCTTTTGCGTTTCTCCATCTTTCTCTGCCCCCCCTCTGCGATCTAGAGTTTGGGTGTTATTAGGTGAAAGATGTGCCACGAAGATGATGAGTCATCCTGTCACTCTGTCATCTCCCCCTCTCCTCCTCTTCCTCCTCCTCTTCCATCCTCACCCTGCAGCCCCGCAGCACTCTCTCTCCCTCACTGAACAGAGCACTTCTTTCTCCTTACAAGACAAACTCGGATCGCTCGCACGTGCCGTAGGATGGTACGAGGGGCACGCGAGCACTGTCATTTCATCCTTGCGCACGCCGCTCCCCCTGACAGAGACGTCAAACCGCCACTTTCGCAAAAGCAGCAGGCGCCACATCAACAGACGTGCACTTGCAGATGCGTCGCTGCCTCGTCGTCTGAAGTTGCCATAATGTTTTTTTTGATTTTTCTTTTTTCCCTCCCTTTTTAACATTTTTTTTTCTTTCCCCCGTCGGCGCGCTCATGCGTCGAATTCAAATGGGCCCCTTTCCACGCACGCTCCTTTTGAAAGCTCTGATGGAATATGACATGCTCATAATATTTCCAGGGCCCTGGCAGATAGCTTTAACGGCTTACTATGCATGTTTTCTGACCTTTGTTTTATTTGTTTCTCTGCCACAGTGACCATTGAACCTGGGCTGTGTTGGAAATGGCAGATAATCTCCTGCTTTGCATGGGCAAAGCTTTCTCTCCGCGGAGCTGAGAATGTGTCTATCTCCTAACCCTGAGGCAGGGCCATTCTCTTGCTCGAGACAGAGAGAGAAAGGGAAGGGAGAGAGCTGGAGAGAGGACGAATGGAGGGAGAGCAGCGGAGGAATGGAAAGCAAAGGCATCTGCAATGCAAATAGCTGCCCTGCAACCCTGAATAATTCAAAGTGTTGAATGGAAATCTTGCTTTTCTGATCCCTCGTCATTAACTTCTGCCGGAGTGGGCCATTCTCATTTGGGCTCTTTTGGCCTGCGCACCTCCCATTCTGTACAACGCCCCCCCCACCACCACCACCACCCCCAACCACTCGCTCTCACCCTCTCCTTCAGTACTTTTGCTCTTGCCCACTTTACCTCTTCGTCTTTAGAAACCACTTTCTCCCACCGCTTATTCATAGAAACTCTGCACGCCTGTTGCCCTCCCGTTTCCCTCTCAGGTCCTCTTCGCTGATAAGCCTCGCCGCTTCCTTCCTACCAAACTGTTTGAAAAGAATTGCGAGAAGAAGAAAAGAGGCCCCACTCTGTTTTATGGCCCTAATTTCCTTGTACAGTTGATCTGTGGATTATACGCTGCCAGCAGCCATGGGGGATACAGATGGTGAACCTTTGTGAGGCCCCCTCTCTAAGCTCTTCCTATTAAAAGAACGCAGAGAAAGGATTATCTCTCACTTGCTGAATATCAGATTCATACACAATGCGCCCGGTGTATTCATTGAGTGAGAACTGCTCCTTTTGTTAATTGCCGCGATGGTAGCAGCGGTGGAGTTGGTTTCATGCGCGCCCTCTTTTGTCTCTCCGTCTCACCCCTCGCTCGAGCCTCATTTTTGAAACCGATGTTATAATGCACTTCGACTGCCTTTGTCGCCGCCGCGCTGAAAAATTCTATTTTTACGTTTTGCTTTTGTTTATTTTTTTGCCTTTAATGTGTTGCCTTCCCTGTCCGTCTGCTGCTTCATCCCCCATTGAGCTGAGAGGGAGCTTAATATATTATTTGATGGATTAGAGCCTGAGCGTTTTTGAATAATTCATTCTAGGTTATTAATGTGTCTGTCAGCCACTGGTGTTTCATATGCCCCTGACTCTGGGTTTTTATTGGTCACTGAAAGCCCACAGACATTGGAATTCCATTCCTAAACATAACGCTGTACAGTCAGCACGGCTGTCTGAATTAGACTTGTGACAAGGTGGAGATTCATTAGACGCTGGCCTTCTCTGGCCATGACTGATATCCTCTGCACAGCACTCGATTCAAACTTGGTACATGAAGTAAAAGGCAAGAAAAAAAAACATTTTTGGTCCTTTTTAATAAAAAAAAAAAGGACAATCGTTATAAAATATGATTTTTTTTTTTTAATTTGAAGTATCATAGTTGGTATATCAGGTATTAGGACAGAAAAAAACCCTTAGTGAACCTCCAGCAGACTTGGCCTAAGTTCATCGTGGCCCTGCATGTCGTGGGACCGTCCTGTTTGGCATTCCTCTGCATGGAGTTTGAGGATGGTGCCTCTGGACTGGCAA